TCTCGTAGAGAGTTCTCATTTACTTCCGACGCATGTAGAGTATTTACATGAATGTAAATCTCCTATCGTTCACATGTCTTTAGCATGTGTCTTTAGCTTACGCTACTAAATGGGGTACCTAGCTCTCTAATGTAGAAGTTAAGTTAGTCCTTAGTTACAAATACCGTTCCTCACATCGCTCCTAGATCTACTCAACTTTATAATTACATATAATATAATCTGATGCTACAAACTTATATATGATTATCGGTCTCACATAAAAATGTTGTCAAAATTAAAACACATAATTTTTTTTAATTTTGTATATCTTATGGCATACGATTTTACAACAAGCCGATACAAATACACTAATAAAATGTATGCATTTTACTTGGCCACATTCGTGTCATTGCTTATCACAACTGTAATAAATGTCATAAAGAAATCTCGAAGAACTTAAGAAACACTACTATTTTATAGCCTAGTATATGTAAAGAGCAGTAAACTTAAAAATCTCATAACTGGTGGAGGAGTTTCCCGCTTTATCGCGGATAAACCGAATCATGCACGAGAAAATGACAGGACTCACTCACAAGCGTCATTTTATCAAACGTCGTATTCCACACAGTGCAGAACATATAAAATATAATAATAACATGTCTGTCCCTTACATCGCAAAAATATCTTAAAAAGAAAGAAAAAATATTTAGTTAATCAAAATATAAATGAAAGAGACATAAGTCAAGATATCACAAAGATGACAAAGCATATGAAATTTGTTGAATTGCACAATAAACTCGAAAAAAATTCCTTATAAAGTAAATAAAAAAAAGAAGCAGACATAGTCTGAAAGAACGTTTTTTTAAGATTATTTTTATTACGGTACTGAGTCTCTTACGTTTCTAAGTATATGCTTTAAAAATACAATTCGGAATTAGTGACATGACAGTTGACAGAACACATTGTTGACAGATATGACGTTAGGATAGCATCGATGATATGTATTTTCAACGCGTTTTAGCAAATCATTGACATTTTTTTGAAATAATAATACCAGTGACAATAATAATATATATATATATATATATATCATAAATTAAGTTTAAAAGATTTTTAAATTTTGCTAATTTTAAAATTTGCTTATCGCAAATAAAAATTAATAATTATAAATATAAATAAATTTTACATAAATAAATGTATATCATTTAATAATAAAAACACAAAGAATCGAATAATGTAGAATATTACAATAATATTTACAAAATACATCTCATATTTTATAATAACAAATTAAATAAATATAAAAGAGAGAGAGAAATATATTTAGCAAGTAAATTAACAATTATTAATATTTGTTATGTTGTAAAAAAAAAAAACAACGTCCAAATGTAATGCAATTCAATTTAGTAAAATTCCAGAATTCATTACGTCTGCGAAACAAATTTGATGCAGTAACGAAAACGGAAAAGAAGAACTGGCAATGCGAGACAATAAAAATTTACATTTCCGCTGCTAATTTGACCAAGCGATTTAGCTCAATTCAACAGAAATAAATTTTACAGTGCTATCACATTTTCAGGAATGGAATTGTATTAGCTGTCGGTACCGACTCGCCAATGGCATGCCCGAGGATGCGTTATATCAGGCTATCGTTTACGGTACATTTACGCTACTTAGCGAACTTCCAGCCCGAAGTCGAAGCCCGAATATCCTATATATATATATATATATATATATATATATATATATAAAACCCTTTTGACGCATTTATAATTCTAAGCACGTCCTAGTTATTAATATGTTCGTCTACGTAAATAATTTTAATAATTTAAGAGGTCGTACGATGCAGTTTGCGCAGCTCTAAAAATATTACTTGGAATATCCCCGGCATTTATGACGCGTAAGGTATACCGCGGGAGAACGCTCAATTTCATCTCGAACGAGTCTGGCCGGCCAATTACGTACGTACGTACGTACGTACGTATGTATGTATGTACGTATATACGTATGTATGTATGTATGTATGTATGTATGTATATATGTATGTAACCCCCAGTTCCCCCGTTGCCCCGCCGTAATTGAATACTCAATAGGATTTACCAAAGCGGGCCGAGCGGCGCCGTGCCGCGGCGTGGCGTACCGTGGGCGAGCCGATCGACAGGACACACGCCAATATTTGATCCGCGTCAAAAGCTCCGAGGCGGATCCACCACCAACACGGGGGATTTCCAACGGTCGTTAACCCCCGCGCGCTGGCCGCGCGCTGTCTCGTCGTCGCAGCGGCGTGTGATCCTCTCCCTCTCTGCCTTCCGCTCGGGTAAACTTCCGAAAAGCCGTCATCCCCCGATTTGACGGAAATTATCGATTGTATATCTTTGTTTACGATAAAAAGCGACGCGTGCGACCTATGGCCGCGTGCGAGAACGGCGACAACCTTTGTGACAACCTTGTGTTTTTCCGACAGATTTCGAGTAAATTTTCAAGTGACAGCCAAGTCTCTGACACCGTTGACATCCCGTTGTAAGCCGGTGGAACAACGCTTGTCGTAATACGTCATAATGTAATAATACATGCGATCATTAATAAGTATCTTGTAATAAAAGAGTATAACAGAATAGACTCTGTAAAAATCTTATCGTGTGATGCTTTCTGATGCAAAGAACACGTCGCAACGTCGGTTGATCTGATTTTGTCGAAAAATGAACCTAGTTTACAGGTGTAGAAACAACCGAGACACGATCGAATGGAGAGCTGTTTCCTTTAAAATTAAATTTGCATCTTGGCGAGACAAAAGTACGTTGAGAGAGATGATGTTTTATACATCGCACCTGCACGTCTCGCCGAAGCGTCGCTGAAACCTGCACATTTAAGCATTTCCCCTTGCTCCTTTTGCTCGTGTAACACGTCATGTGTGTCTATGTTTAAGCCTAACGCCCGCTCAACCCGTTTTAGGTGGCGTTCGCGCCGAGACAACCAAATCCACAGGTGCGGTTGCTTTAGGGTGCTCACATCGCGCGGAAGTGCCTTTGAATGGATAGAACGGCCGTCGACAGCGCGTGAATGCACCGTAGGAGACACGTATGAAAGTTACCGACTATCCGGCGCGGAATGCGACCTCTCCGAGGGACAGAATAGCCCGGGTCGTCGCGATCCAGAGGACGAGACAAACCATTTCCCGTCGCCACCGTTTCTCACGATTCTTCCACTTTTCTCCGTATACCGAGAATGAGAATTAAGCCGCCGGACTAGCCGGCGCGTTGGAGATTGCCGGAGTGATAAACGGTCACCAAATGGATAGGATCCTTATCTACGTTTATCCTTCCCCGAGTCCACTTTAACCAATTTTTTTTCGGACGCTCGAGAAAGACTTGCAAGGAGACATCCATTTTTTTTTTTTTTTTTTTTTTTAATAAATTTCAAGACTTTTTACGTTGTTACCGCGAGTTTGAATCGAGACTACATTTTTCATATCTTGTAAATAACTTTGTGAAGTATAGAATGTAATTGGATCAAAAAGCTTCTTTTCATATCGTTTCAATTCGTTTCAAAGCTCTCTCTCTCTTTTCAGAAAATAAGAATTGTGCGCGTTACAAAGGTAAAAGTAAAATCAATTATTCGATACGATAAAAAGTTGAAATGTCATTAATTTCTTAATATCCATTAATGTAATTTATTAAATATATTAACATAAATAATGTATTAACTCTTGAATAAAAATTTTATCGAAAGATATTTGAAAATTTGAAATAAAAAAGAAAAGATTTCTTCGTTCCGAAATCTTTCTTCGTTTTTAGAATTAAATAACAAGTCACACAATGATTAAAAAAACGTGCATTTTTAATTACGACATAACGATGGAATCATTATGGTCCTTTTTTTTAGCGGAATAGAGAATGATCGTCTGCTTTAGATAATGGTGCGCGATAAATTCGCGGTTGGTTGGCGCATAAAGTGTGACTATATCGACGTTCCGATTGATTAATTAGATTAATTTTAATTGAACGCCTATGTATATTCTGAAAGGCTGGCTACCGTCAATTTAGTAACTCGATAAATCTATAAAATAGCGTGGCGAAAGTGTGGCTACATTTTATTAAATTCTGTTTCGCAAAAGGTCGCAGTGTGGTATCGTACAGTGCCAAATTTAGTAATGGATCATTATTGAATTTCTGCAGCAAAGGTATAGGAGCGGATATTGAAATTTAATAGATAATTACTTTTGCCAGTGGGCCTAATGAACTTATTTCATTTTATGATATAAGTTGGCAAAAGAATATACTCTGTCGACATTAAAATATGTATGTTTGAAATATTTTTGTCATTTTCTTGATACTTTTCTTGATTGACTTTTTACAAATTTATTCTTATGCAAGTCAAAATAATAATAATTATTAAAATAATAACGTAATTTTTTATTCGGTCATTTCCATTAAACTGAGGATGCTGAGATTAAATAGGCATCTTAATCTTTCATCGCGAATGGCTTCGGTACTAAAATTGGAGATGGAGTAGTAAATTAGCTAAATAGCACTTAATTCTGCGATAGTTTCCAATTCAATTTGCTGTGGCGAAGGTGCTAACTTAACGGAGGTTATCTTGTGGTAGATATTGGGTCTAACGATAATTAATTGCCGTAACATATCACCTGATTATCATTCAAGAGCAATATTATTATATAATAAGATATACAGACTTCAATTGTTTCAAATATGTATGCGATCGAATATTTTATTCGTATTTCAATCTTTGAGAAACTATATTTAGAAAAACGATAAATCTTTTCGGAAAATATAAAATTAAAACAGAAATAAATTTTATATACTAGCTATTTATTATATAAATCCACATATTGTCAAGAACGTTTCGATACAAGAAAATAAAAAAGCAAAGAGAAATGAGATAGAGCTTGGAGCAAATCATTTAGCGATAGATGAGAATCTAAATGGGAATATAAATTGTGACTGTTTGTACTTGATTGGAGCGCTGTAATAGACAAATATTCTTATTTAAATATTACTCACGATGTTTGAGGTGCAGTCTAGGAATGGGATCCTGCGGCCAAGCCACATTTTGCGCGGCTAAGCTGATCAGAGCCAAAATCCGTAGCGACGCGTTCATCCTGGAAACAAATGGCCCTGCAGGATGTCCGACAAATCAACGGTAACTTTCAAGCCTCATCATCGCCACCACCAATCGTCATTCCTGAAAGCATATAATAACGACCTCTAATTCCGTATTTACATAGTTTGCAAAGTTCATACATAAAGTATACATGTTGTAGTTTGATGTAGAATGTTATTCCATTTATTGCGCGTGAGATATTTCAACAGTTATATAATTCATTAAAAAGTACGATTATGAGGGAAAGAATTTTTCAAATAATTATTCTTATTTTCTACAAATTTTAAATTATTAAAATCATGGAGCAGTATTCAATATTTGGAAATTATATGCTGAAATAACATAAAGAGTCAGATAATTTTCTCCTCAAAAATAGAATATATGGTTGTTAATTGTAACCTTTCCCGATAATTTCCCAATGATAAAAGATTTGAAACAATTTCACTCTTTTGACAATCAAACTTTAGTTTTTTTATAACACAATTGTCTATCAATTGCTATTATTGTCGTAGAAACAATCCAAAACCAAAGGATATATATCCACGAAGAAAGGTAGATTCACTCATGCAATATTTCGAGGATATCGATATTTCAAATTAAACGCATGTATTCTTTACAGCGAAGGAAGAGAAACAAAAAAGAATAGATCTTTTGTCCTCTTTTCGCGCAAAATTTATATATATATATGCATATCTTTTTGTAGAAGAAAACTACTAGTTGGAATAAGTAAGGGAAAGCATGAGGAAGGATAAAAGGCTAACGAAGGAACGGCAGGCGACCACTGACTACAACGACTACTATGAAGAAGACGACGATGTTATGCATTATGCAGAGAGGTCGAGTTTCTATTTGTCCTGGGGCCGTGTACTGCCGTCTACTACCTCGAATACGTTCAAGATTAAACGTAGTATCGAATATGTATATTCACGTATATACATAAGGTGTTCAGAGAAGAGAAATACAGCCAAATTTCTATATATTAATTAGTTGAATACCGCAAGAAAATTTCTATCAATATAGATATATGACCCTTTCTTCATCTTTCCAGCCAGTATGTACAAATCTGTTCTCGAGGAAAAATTGATAGTAACATACATTATACGTTAGATAAAATGAACAGAAATAATATTAATATTAGTATTATCCGTTTATCCGTTTATCCACTAAACCGAGAAAATGTCAGATTACCATATTAGATATCAAATTACCATATTAATTTCTAAATTTGAAATTGATGGAAAATCGATAGAGATAAAAAAGTTAGATATAACATATCTAATTTCGGATCATACGCGTAAGTTCTTCGGTTCATAGTATAAGTTCTTCCGTTCGTCAAATTGGATGGATGTATGTCGAAATTTTTCTCTTACCTTTTGCTTTTAATAATTATCAATTATTTCTTCTTTTATTAAGCACCTGTTTTTGTTTATATTAATAATCTTCTGAATATTTCGTATATTCATGACCCCTTGTAGATGTTTGAAAGCAAAATTATCATTCCGTAGTAGGCGCGACGCTCATTTTTCTTCAACTCTGCAAGTTCAGCAAAGTAAATGGAAACAGGGATCTACAGCCACCGTTAAACCCCCAATTTGCTCGCGCGGGTTTTGCAAGCGATATGCGAAACACACGTGGCAACGTCAATCAATGAACCGACAGTAATGGTATCGTGTTGTTAAAGTATTAATTAATCTCAGCCGTGTGATCAATTCGCATTCCAACGCGACGGCAACGTGCCGTATTGTTGTACTCGACATCTGGTAGACGATCATAAATTCATGATCGTTTCGCAGCGGCAGCTGCGCGCGCCCCGCGCGATCTAATAAAATCAGATCGTGAATCATGTTCGGAGAGCGGAGACGAGAGAAGAAGAATGTTTCGCCGCGCGGATCCGCGCGGATCGTGTTTGCCGTGATGTTTGCGAGAGCAAGAGCACGCGCTTACGCTAGGCGTGGCTCGCCCTACTTTCGAGAGATACGAGAGGGAGATACGAGTTGCGGATCGAGACAGTCATGCTTCCCTCGCAGCATCTCTCGTCGCAGCGGCGACGGCCGCTTTCCGATTCCACGATTCCACCGCGCTTGCCACCGCGCACCGAAAATGAAAGACTTTCTCTTATATTAGATGGAACACGGGACTCCATCGCGCGTTTAACAAACAAAGCGGCGAGAAAGCTCGCCGCTCGATCGCCCCGGATGCTCTCTCGATGCGGGGAAAGAGATCTAATTTTCAACCCACATAGATTCCCCCACATAGATACGCGAGTCATGGAGATACGTGGAAATGTAGAGGAACGACCGCATGATTATAACTCTAATTTCGGAACTCGAGATTATCATATCCATCGCGGTGCAGAGGCGGTACTATGAGAATATGAATTTGGTAAAATTTGTGGGTTATATAAATATCTCATTTGATAGAGATGGAAAGATGATGGAAAGAGATATAACATATTCTTTGCTTCGAAAAGTGAAAAGGATAAGATGACAGTTTATTAATTTTTTCGTCTGTTAATTAAATAGCATTTTATAAAAAGAATCTTTGCGCTATAAAAATTTTAGTTTTACTTTTATAATATCTAATTATAAGATGGGAAAAATAATTAAATGTTATGGAAGATTTATTAATTATTTTATGCAAATAAGTTTTCTCATCATTATTCATAAGAAAACGAAAACGCTCTCGGCAATTGAAGAATTAACTAACTCTTTGACGTACATTATAAATTAAATATATATTTATATATAAATATATATTATAATACCAGATACTAGATTTCTTATGTTTGATGAATAATATCAATTAATAATTAATAAGAATAAAAACTCACTACAAATATTAGTACTAACAGATAATATATGTGTTTCGTGTTTCAGCAAGGATAATACTAATATCCACGCTGTCTTTTCGTTTATACAATATTTATTCCACTGAATGTCTGTTACACTGACATATAATGTTTTGTGCCGCTTTCGACGAATATTATTCGTTACGGCTTCATTCACGACGATTAAAGTTCATTATACCCATTATTATGTTCTTGCACTTTACGAATTGGCGCTTAGAGGGGTGGTGAGTCCCGAGCTATTTTTTCGACGACGCTTAGAGGCGTCCGCGTATTCGCCCTGAATCGGTGACAACGAAGCCTAGGGACTACGTGTTCGTCCTGGGTCACTGATCGGCACAGACCACGCCTTGGAAATGTATTCCTAAGTAACACACGCACGTATGTCGTATAACTCTCGTTCTGCTTCGATGTGCTCGAGTCGAGACTCTCTTGCAGAGAGACCGACTGCGAATCTCTTGCAGTTGCAAAAAAATTCTATCCAAGTTCCTCTTCGGACGTTATTTCTCTAATTTTCTCGACGATTTCTTATGAATTAGCGACGACGCGGATGAAGTCGCGCTGCGCCCGCTGAAGGTGTCGGAAAACGCAATCCCTATCGCTCATTCCTCGCAGATAGGATTGCCATCCGTCCTCTTTTCCCCGGATACTGTCCTCTTTTTTAGGGCGTCCGAGAACGTCCGAGAGGATTTTTTGAAAGCATCCGGGATAATTAAGCGTCCGGGATTTCAAAAAAATCTCCTAAATATTTTGTTTTCATTTCTCTCGGATTACTCTGCATTACCAAATAGAACAGGTATCATATAAAAGAGTTAAAATTTATTAATTTTAATAAAATTAATAAAACTTAAGCTAAATCTATAATAGAACTTTTTAAATCAACTATTTTAAATCAAAATAGTCTGTATTTATTTAGTTTCCAGTTCAAATTTCTCTTTATCTCTGAATGCTAATGAACAATTAGATGTGAAATAACGATTCATTTACTGTTCTAATCAATTTTATTAATTTTATTAATTAAGTGTATTTTTGTATACGTTCGGGGTTGCAATCGAAATGTCAGGAAGTTTTGGCTTAAATCCTAGTTTTGAAAATTTTAATATGGCAATCCTACTCGCAGACCAGCGTTCGCATGGATTTTAATTGTTTGTTTTGTGTGTGTGTGTGTGTGTGTGTGGTGGTGTGTGTGTGTGTGTGTGTGTGTGTGTGTGTGTGTATGTGCGTGTATTTGCATTGTTTCTACTGACCAGTTTTGAATACATATATACATGTTATGAGCTCTTCTACGTAATATACTACAAACTATAATATGTAACACATATTATAAATTTATTACATATTTTTTTATCAACTTTATGATCGATATTTATTCTTAATATTTCTTCCATAAAATATATAAATCACTTTAAATCACTTTTAATTACTATCGCTATTATCTCATACCAAATTCTTGACCACAATATAATTTATCAAATACTCGAACATAAACGTAAATCGAACTTTAGCAGATAGATAATTATTGTAAACGGTCATCAGATATTATAAACCACCCATTCAGCCAAACAATTATTTGGTAAATAATTTTACAAACATACCGTAACGATATACCGATCCGTAGTAATTTCACATTCCAAACCTTATGACACAACTTTCCTTTCCATATTTTTTTTTTTTTCTGTTAATATGTCTCCGCTGTTATCTAACCCGACAAACGGAAATGGAAATGAAAATAAAGTTTCTTTTACTCTGTCATAAATGAGATATAAAATTTGAGCGAGTCAAAAAAATAAACGGAAAAGCAACCGTCGAAGATTTACGGCAACACTCGAAAAAGCGGGCAGGAAGCGCACACACCTTGAAAACGAACGAGGGGCGCACGAAATGGAGAGGAAAACGGCAAGGAGAAGCAAACCGAGCTCCAGCGGGGCGTAGCCCCTCGTGGAGTAAAACTTTGACCAACACGCTGCGGGAAAGGGAGAACGTGAGCGTTCTGCAACTGCTGCCGCTGCTGCTGCCGCTGCTGCTGTTGCTGCTGCTGTTGCTGCTGCTGTTGCTGCTCTGCTGCTGCTCTGCTGCTGTAGCGGGAGCACGGTCTAATTATCCATGCGCTTTGTGCGTGTACACTGGCTCCAACAAGAGCAACGGCAATGGCACAAATGGCGGTACGAGCGTGATTGCTCGGACCATGTAGATAGTTCTAGCGCGATTGCTCTCCGTTCAACGAGCCGGCGATCAAAGTAAAAACAGCCTCGCCAAGCCAGACTCACTTCCTTCGTCTTGCGCGAACGCCGCACGCGCGATTTCCAACTAAAATCCTAACTGAAAATTCAAGCTGAAAATTCAAGCTGAAATCCTAAGGGATTCCAATACGTTTATCCGTCTGTTTATTTGTTTGCTTATGGTTGCAACAAAGGCATGCACGTACACTCGTCATTGCCTATTCCCTTCGGCAGACAGAGCGCTCGGGGCGGCCACGTTTCGACGCTGTGGTGACATTCCCTAATCGAAAATTGAAATAGCTTCATTTCACTTTAATTTACGGAAATAATATTTGCATCAGAAAGTACTGCAATCGTAATTTTAATTAACCGTTTCTATTTTCTAATGTCCCCGTATTAACGCTGGAATTTTATTTAGTTCATTATAGAAGCTTTACTTAGCGGCTTACATTTGAGAAACTACGTTGTATAAAAAATGGATTAGCAAGTGTGAATAGTATTTTTAATCCTTCTCAATTGAGAGAAACTAAATTTTTACAAAATTTACACTTTAAAAGCGCATACAAATAACTGTAATAGACTCTTTAATCAATTTGCAAATATCATGTAAAATATACATTTTGCTAAATATTTACAATATTAAGGGTTAAAACGTAAAAAAAATTGTAAAAATAGAAACAAGACTCATTTAAATTATAATAGAGAAGAAATTATTTTGTTTTCAGTAGAAGAAAAAATTTTGTTCTTTCTAAAAAGATCCTGTTTTTATTCGGTATATTTTCTCTCTCTTTCTCTTCTCATTTTGCCGTATCTTTATCTTTCTTATCTGTTTTTATCTCATAACCCCGATCTATGTCGCTGCCCAGTTCTCTCGATTTTTCGCTTCCGGTGAATTTTCACGTTCAAAGAAATTGCTACTTTTGATTTGGACGAGTCTTCGGAAAAGTAGGAAAGTTTCTTTTCATTCCCGTATTCCACGCTAAAAGAGCGGAGAAACATTGAAACTGCCAGTGAAGGAGAATGGACCCGAACGTACGATGTCGAATGTAGATAATAGTCTACATAAAGTTAATTCTCGCGTGACTAGAATTTCAAGATATAGTCAGATCCTACTAAATATTGATATTTGGTATTTCACTAAATGCAAACTGTTAAACTGTAACTTCTATACCCTCAACTCAAGTTTGATTCTCTAATTATGTTACATATGTTTTTTGCCAATGAATTGTAGTCTTTTTCCTATTACGCCTTTTTTCAAGAGAAAGCTCATATGCCTTAAAAATTAAAGTAAGAATATTTACCAACAAAATTTAGTTGGCGGAATCTAAGGTATAAAGAAAAATATAAAATGGACATTAAAATGATAATATATTCAAAATAAACTTAAGGTAAACAAATTCGCGATATCATCTAGTGCTCAACCATTTCTATCGCAAGAAAAATAAGTTTTTTTGCAAAGGTGCTCCAACGATGGCTTTATTGGCTAAATCTCACGTAACAGTGAGAAACTAGTTATATAATTTATGGTATATCTTTTTCATATCATTAAACTTTTTCATTTCAATTTATATATAGTATTCCACAAAACGTAAAAATTGTTACTAATGTAAGCACATTGTGTTGAAATTATTAAAAATATTTATTCAGTTATTAAATAACGTCGAAACGTCGAACTTTAAAACTGTGCGGGATAAATCACCGCTCAAGTTTTTGTTGAAAAGAGGATAACCTCAAATTTATCAAAGAATACGTAACTCTGTTTAATGAGTAAAGTGTATTCATGCTTTATGAATTTATCCTGATTAAACTTCAAGTAAAATTTTAGCGGAAGTAAAGCCGATTGGAAATTAATTGAAAGGTAGCTCTGTAATCTATTTACAGTAATACTTAGAAAAGTACGCTATAATTATCCCAAACTTCACTTTCCACTTAAACGGGGATATATCCCCGTTATCAATGCTTATTTCTTTAAGACAACCTTTGTGAATCTGTGAATCTTATTTCGTATTCTACTCTCTCTCTCTCTATTCTGTAGATGCTGACTGTAGCCTCTAAGGTACGACCGTCAAAGTCGACGATACCAACCGATATCCTTAGCCATTGTGCATTTTGTACGCTTGGATGTGCACAAGTTCGAATTCGGTATCGATCCAGCCCGTTTGCTCCGTGACTACGGTAATGGTAAGGAAGCCACAGTTAACTTATCACTTATCCTTTCAAATTACATTCTCATCCCACTTGCAAATTCTCTCCGTTTCTATCATAGCGTTCAATCATGCAATGATAACGAGTCGAAGAAATTAAGTCCTACAGATACTAGATACTTTTATCTTTTATCTATATTTATTGAAACGGGACGTTACTTTTCTACTTGAAATTAAAGCGTTAATTTTTGTAAGTGATAATAAATACATAACGAAAATAATAAAGAAAATATGAAATGTAAATTTTACAATTATGTATATTTTTGTTATACGTCTAAATTACAAATAACAATAATGATATCTAGATACTTTAAATGCTTCGTAGCATAAAAACGACTTTTTACATAAAAAATAAAATATATTTATAATAAAATTTATAATAAAATATATATTCAAAGTGTTTATTTTTAAAAAAAATACTTTTTCATTCCACTAAAAATATTGGTTTCATTTTTAATACTTTAGTGACCTATTTTTTGACAGATATTTTTGACAGATATAACATTATAACTGCTTGATTCAACTTTACTTGATCATTCCTAGTCTAAATCCCGTTCGAACGTACAAATTGCAAAACGAAAAACAGCGGGAAAACGACAGGGAGAGAAAAGAGTAGCGTGGGAGGAGATAAGTCTAGCAGTTGAAAGACGCCAAAAAGGAGCAAAAGATATCCGCGACAGAGCGGATGAATGAGACTACCAGTGGTCTTTGAGCCAGCAGGTAGGCAATGATTAATAAGTAACGTCGATCTCGTTCAAAGTACGGCGCGTCGGAGAAACTCAGGGCATCCCCATCTCGAAGTTCTTGCAGTAACAAACCACCACGTGCAAATAGAATATTTCGAGAAATAAATGAGTCGTGATTATTCTAGGAAAACGGCAAATCTAGGGCGCGTGTACCTCACTAAAGTTCTCGCTAATAACTTTTTATCTTAATTTAATTTAATTTTTTAATCACAAAATATACCCCTATCGCAAAAATTCAATGCAATTTGTATACAGATGAAATTTTCATTTTCGATTTAACAGAATATGTAAGTATGTAAAGTAGAAAACGCCTAGTAGAAAGCCTTTGTAAAGAATTTTATGATAGATTCTAAACTCGACGCGTTCGGTTTCGCATGAATTGTTAAGTTCTTCGTTTCACCTCAATATTGTTTACGCTCCAGAGACGTTTGATTTCTCCGTTTCAAGTATCCTCTGGACTTTGAAATCCAGGTTCATGGCAATCCTGAGTAACATAAAGTTTATCGTTCGTTCGACTTCCTGCAGAAACGCCATATTTGATATAAAGTTCTCACTGACAAGAATACTTGAAAATCGATGATTTAATACTCGAGCAAACGAATGCGTTCGTAGATTATGATATATAATAATAATAATATAATTATTATATTTTATATTTAATAATTTTTATTAAATATATTCGAATAATTTTTATATTTTAATATATATATATATATATATACATAATGTGTGTGTGTGTGTGTGTGTGTGTGTGTGTGTCGTGTGTGTGTGTGTGTGTGTGTGTGTGTGTGTGTGTGTGTGTACGACACACACACCACACACACCACACACACACACACACATTATTTATATAGAATACGCTGAGTGTACTGAATTTATCATTCAAAAAAATGACGTGTTTCATTCAGAGAGCGATACGTATAATATCCATTGTACGAGAAGGAAAACAGAAATACATCTGTCATACCTATTTCGTAATTTTCACCTCATGTTTGGTTCAGGCATCGTTTTGTATTGCGCGGCTGCTCGTTCCTCGAAAATGGATTCCTATTCTGCCTCGTCGGGCTCAAAAATACGCCCCGCCGTTCCTCGTTTCTCCGCTCGTTTTCGGTAGGTGGACCTACGCACGGGGAAACGAACGAGGCACGAGGGACTCCTCCGGATTTCGATTATCGTTGATAACTCGGCTGGATGTATCCCTTCCATACTAGCAGTAGTTTCCGGAAATTCGCCTCGCCCTCGGGATTATCCCGCCCCGGGAATTCCCATCTCGCCACCGACGTTGTGTGTTCTCCGATCTCTCTTTCTTTCTCTCCACCCTGTACCTTCTATCCCGGAATTTCGGTTCCCTCTTTTATTCTCAGTTCTTTTTCACCTTGTCTTCGACCTCACGTTCGATTTGTCCCGAATTACATCATTGAGTATATTACATCTCTTTGGTATCTTCTTTTTATCGTGCGTAACACACCGGATCAGATATCTTTCATCAAAATCCTGGATATTAGGTGAGAATTTTGAAAATGAGTGTTACCTTACATCACGTTGAATGAATACCTGTTGATTTTTTTCTGATTACTCATCGATTTGTCGTCAAAGATTAACACATCACTGAAATTTGAATTATCAAAGTCTCACTTTATTTCAACATAAATTTTGTGACAAAATAAATGATGATTTAAAATTATTTGTAGCGTGAATATATGATATGTTACGTAATATGAAATAATTTATAAATCTTGATCTCTTTTATCGTTTCAGAATGCTTGTTTCCAGCGAGATGGGAAGGCACGTGGTTCCAAAGTGGCGTGAGGCAATCAATATTAATATCCAAGAACGAATTATCCACCAAAGGCAAGTGTCTGCACAACGAAGGTGACAAGTTTCTCCTAGTAGATCAGTAAGTAATTTGATTCCTTTTATCTATATCTCTTATCTATAAATAAATTTCACGAAGTCAATTATTATAAAATAAAGTTCACGAATGCAATTATTATAAAATACTTCATTTTACTGTATTATTTTAGAAATGAAATAATTTATCTCATAACTTTTATTATATATATCGACTTGCGTGTGTCTTCAGATGGCAAATTAAATGAATATAAAGAGCATGTTTTAGTATATCGTGCTTTATTTAGTCAAAATGGAATTAAAATTAAATAAATTTGTTAGAAAAATAGTCGAATATATCTTTTATTTTGAAACTGAAGTTGACAACTCTTCATATATTCTTTGTTTTTTTAAATTAGTTATATTGTACCAAATAATCCAAGGCAATAAAGCATAAACATCTTTTGATCTAATGCAATATTGGTTTTTTCAAACAAAGTAAAAACAAAGTAAAAAAACCTATCGATATTATTTATTTACTCGTAACATATTTATTTTAATCTCTTTGTATACTGCAAGCAATTGTAGCGAAACAATTTCTATTCTGAAAATTTCTATAGAACTATATATAGGAATCGCATGTATAGTTTATATATCCAACCGATCAAAGCCTTAGTTACTAAAGCTAATATGGCGAAATCAGTCGACCGAATAACCCGGATCTTTCCTTTTTTTTTTTTTTTTTTTTTATATTCGACCAGCGGTTTATTCAATTCCGTAAAATTGACGATATCGTTTTGAAAACATGCAGCGATATAATTTTCTCCTTCTCTCTTTCTCCTTTTTCCTTTCAACGTTGCTACTTACAAAGAAATGTAATACCGTCGATGATTTTAAGAAAGTGAATTTATATTCACCGCCAATTTGAATCTTTCATTTAATTAAACAATTTTCATCTAAGCAAATTGCTTATCGAAAAATTGTGACACGCATAGTCTGGACGGTACGATTTTTCGCGATAAGGATTGCAATCTTTCTTCTCGAAAACGCGAAGAACACGCAGCTCTGCAACGTAATGAGTCTAATGAAGCCTCAGCAGAAACCACAGAGCTTTTGTTTTGCCGTGTAATGCTCGTGTCACACGAGCTGGCTCTCCAAGTTTTTATCAGAAGATTTCTATCAGACTCTCCCGTGCAAGGTGTCCGATCGATATACCGTCAAACAATGTGAAAGAAGTTAAAAAAGAAACCGCGTCATGAGACACGATAACGAAAACTCAAACGTCACCGCATCCCTCTAATGTAACAAAATTATAGTAGGATTAAAATATAAAATCGATATAAACAATCTAATATTATTCAAAAGGAATAATAAAATTGCCCGTTTGCTGCTAGTGAATTGTCATCCAAAATTCAACGTTTGATCAAAAAGCAGTCGCATTGATTATAATAATTATACAAAACTATCTTATTTTTGATAATGATTATTTCCTTTGTTTAATTCTTTGAAAAAGTTACTGAATCATCAGTTTCCAAATTTCGCTTACATCTTTAATAATAAAAAATGTGTGATTTTAATTGTTCTTGTTTTATACGACTTGACTTAATATGCTTGACACAAATTCGAGAATCAATTGCAGAGTAATTTTCTAATCGAGAAACCTTTAGGACCTCTTCATGCTTTTTCTGTTTCAGGAAATCATGCTACCGCTGCGTCGTCATTCACGAGAAGCACTCCAACGTTCTACAGTACAAAGAGAGTAAGTACGAAAGAGAAAGTAGGGGAAAAAAAAATAAATAAATACAAGAAGCGCGCGATGCGGTGTCGTCATTATTTCGCCGGATCGATGACGATTTGCCGTTGAAGAACCGTCCGTTCATTAGGATGCCGATCGTTAATTAAAAGCTCGACGGTGGCAGAAGGAGGAGAGAATGCCGAGCAGCGTCTGAAATTATTCTTGCACAGGGAACTTAACGATTTTCTCAGCCGTTGCGAAGAACGACGGGCGCGAGACGAACGCGAGACATTAGAAGAGCCGTTACGAAAACGGTTTCGCTAATTCCACCCCGCGACTACCAATCTCATTTGCTGTATAAAGGCGATCGGGAGTACCGTCCCTCCCTCCCCCGTGTCCCACGTTCTATGGGTATTCGTCTTCTATCTCCCTCGTTTATCCGAGCGAGAAGAGCGAACTCGTCGAAACACGATAATAATTCCTAACGAAAAATAATTCCTAACGTCATCGTATTTCGCACTCTGCATATTCGCGGATTAAAGTGCGCTCTCCGGGTTTCAGGTTAGTAACTCTCGATGCTAACGTAAATCTCATTGCAGATTTCTAAACGTTGAGTATACTCGCATAATTGTTCATCTTCATTTAATAGAAAAAGTAAACTCGAGTTCACTCAAGAGAGAGTCATCATTTTTTTTTTCGCGTTATAATTAATTCTGGCTTTATAATTCTTGATCCTATAATTAATTTTTTATTTTCACTCCGAGAAACATTACAAATGGATGAGAAAAATAGAATACGATTTACTTATCTTTCTTTAAAATTTTTATTAATTACCTTTTGGACTTGTTATAAATAAATTGAGAAAATTATATGATCCAATCATAAAAATTTAATGGTTTATACTTTATGATCGGAGATGAAAGTCGCAGTGCGATTGATGATTACTTGCTGTGAGAAACTGCATCAATTCTTTATTTTTACGAGGCACCATGAATGTCTGAGAAAAAAATATAGTATAATTTATTTATCTTTTTTCGAAATTTTACCTTTCGGATTTGTCATAATAAATAAATTAAGAGAATTATAATCCGCATAAAATCTGATGCATAAAAATTAATGATTTGTACTTGTCGTAAGATGAAAGTCGCGATGCGATGAGAATTATATTTGTTATGAGAGACCGCAATTACGCGAGGGGTCGCGAGAGTTATAATTATTATAGAACTTTCTAGAACTCGCGCGCAGGACGGTCGGACCGGTCCATCCATATTTTCGACAATCCAGAAATGTATTTCCCCCTGCAGTTTTATCGATTATCGAGCGCGACGATATGTGCACACCAAGAAGTGGCCCGAAGTTTCGCCCACCGGATGCGGATAGGGAGCGGACTACTAACGCCACGTCCGACTCGCAGCTCGGGTGGCGGAGGGAAAAAAAGCGTAGGTCAACATGTACGAGCGCGAAAAAGCGCGACAGCGTCCGCGCTGGATCCGCCTCCTACGTCTCGCGTCGACATTTTTCGACGATTTGTCAAAGTCCCCCCCCTCCCACCCGTTTTTTCTTCTCTCCTCTCGTCGTTTTATCGGGCTTTAATCTGCATAGTGTCACGCCGCGGGCACCGTCGCTCGCAGACTGCCTTCACTGAGCACAGTTTGTGTCGCCGGGAAAAATGGGAGAACGAGACGCGGGGGCGCGCCGCTACCCCTATCCTCCCCGGCGCGAATCCGGGCGACCCGGTTGCGAACGTCAAGGTGCGGACGAATGAAACGTCGAAGCGAACGCAATATTTCCGCATACGTATGACGTATACTTTATTAAAGAAATTCGCGAATTTCGCCCCGAGAAACTCCGGAGAGACTCCGCGTATCTTCTCCGCGCGCGCCGATAAGCCACTTGGCCCTTCCGTTCGATAAATATGACATGCGCAATTGAATAAATATCACATGAAATATACCATTAATTTAATATGTTCGAATATTTTATTTTGATAACAAAATGCGACCTAATCTGGTCTCGATCTTTGATCTGACGCTAACATTGACATATAAAATTTCGCTAGTTATAATGATAATGTTTGTACATCGGAGAAATATTGAAATTATAAGAAAAGCTTTAAACGATCTCAAAAACTCAAGTGTCGCTAATAAAGAGGTAGAGCGAAAAGACAAAGGTCTTTTGCTCGATTTTTCGGTGGCCGCGGGGAACACCTGCGTGCAGAAAAGTTAAGTCTCTTTGCGAGGCGAAGTCTTTTCTCCGGCCGTCTTTCCGCTGGTGCGGGGAAAAGAAATCGAGGGAAATATCCTCGGTTAAACTTCCGCCGCGGGTATGAACTTGCTACTCAGAAAGATTCGTCATCGTCCAACTCGACCCGCTTCTCCCTCCCTTCCCGGCCCCCTCGCGTCGCCGACGATATAAGAACTTTTCGTTACCCGGCAAAATTTTTATTAACGTCGTGATTCCCCGGGGGATAGTCTCGTAAAAAGAGATGTAACTGCGATTATCGTTGGCTCGCTCGAAAAATGATACGCGTCGTAGCGAAAGATTTGCTGCAGCGGAAACTTTTCCGAGGGCGAGGTGAAGCAAGTAATAGGACGACTTGTAGAGGCTTTTATTTACTTTACTCTGTACGAGTGATACGTTATCATCAGCGGTACGAAATCCGATAATGGCAATATTGCGTTCGAGAAAATTGAAGTTTCCACGATGTTACAGAACTCCTAATCATAATCACTCGAATGAGTCGTAACTATATTTCAGTCGTAACTGTATTCCGTAGACTTTCGTCGAATGTAAATGCGAATATACAAATGTAAAAATGTAAACATCGAATATGTTATAGTTTATGAATAATTCCTTTGTGATGAAAAATAAAATTATCTTCATTGCTCTTTGCAGAGCCACAAATTACATGAAATAATTGGGTTTTGTATTAATTACCCTCATGAATTGGTTTGTCTCCCGATATGGAAAATTGTGACTTATATCGTCGCCGTGGCTGCATTTAACGCGTTTAAAACGCGCTAAATATATTTAACGTATCTCTCGTTTGTAATACGTAAATTTCGGGTCTTTTCATTGAATTATTAAACGTACCTACTTCTGTCACTCTCAACGCCGCGGTTTAACGCACGACGTCACATTTCCGGATAACGAATACGTTTTCAGGAAAATTTAGGTCGCAGATTTATGAAATGCGGCGGATATAAGATTTATTATTAATGTAGGATATATTGCACGCGCGAGATAACGAGGCCGGGACGCGCGTTTAATCTCAATTAATTTCCTCTTGCAGCTTTTTGCCACGGTAGGAACTCTCTGGCGTCTCTCTGCTCGTACATTACGGGGATGCGCTGCTATACTCCATGTTCCGCGAGGAAGACCCCCGTGCCGTGCCCTTTCGCGGCCCCATGACCTTCTCCTACAATCGTGGCCACGGCACGTGTTCGAATCCACCGAGCAACGTCGACACCTGTACAGATGACAGCAGACTCCTTTTCAAATACCAGGCCTGTCCAGACGTTCCCGCTTCGGAGAGCGCAGGTAAGGCATTCTTCATTTATGAAAAGTTTTATTAAAAAAAAAAAAAAAAAAGAAAAAAAAAAAAAAAAAAAAAAAAAAAAAGAAAAATGTATCAAAGAATACCGGAGGAATCCGCGATTTCTAACTCGTGTTTAAAAACTATAAAATTATAATATTGTACGGTTTTGTCTCAAAGACCGCGACAGAAAAAGAACGAATGTGGAATATGCAAGAACTTTTTCCTTTCTCTCTTCTCTCATCGTGCTCTTTTTCATCCGCATATTCTTTGATAAATCTGGCGTGCATTCCGTTTCGACAAAAATATCACCAATAGCTTTTCCGCTATATAAACTCAGCGTCGCTAAAGATTAAAAATCTCCGTTTTTTTTCATGACTAAACTTTACACTTCCAGCTTATTGAAACGTGAATATGTAACATGTAAATTTTTTCTACAATTTATTTATTTACAACGTACTCACTTTACAATATAGTCGAGACGCCTTTCCTTCAGATCTTTATTATATTACAAATTATGCAAATAATTATGTAAATAATCTTATTATTAAAAATGATGTAAAAGTATAGACTATAACTTTTATTGCTTTTTGACAATCACTTTACTATAAATTAAAGTAATATAATAAATGTTACATAACATGAAATTCTAGATGTATAGTGTGCACAATTTTACATAGAAGATATTCTTTATTTTTATATTATAACGCGTTCATTTTTCAATTCTTTCGGTGAATTTATTTTAAAACAATAAATGCATAACTCGTTAAATCCAAAAAACCTTTATCTTTAGCGTATCCTAATTAATTTAAATAGCGTAACTTATTAATACAATTGATATTTCATGCGAGCAGTGACTGGCCATCATCGATTTGTGTATCTTGCGCGCCTCAATTAAATACTCGTTATTCGATGGATTTACATTTAATAGCGCGACACAGAGAGATTAAATTTGTAGTCAATATGAGATTTATATATCTATTTTTGACCAACGTGTGTTCAATTTAATATATTGCGGTATAATCGATACTATCAATAATCCGTTTCGAAACAACGGTACTGTTGTCAATTACACCAAGTTACATTGCACAAGTTACATTGCAAAATGTGTGGACAGCGTCTAAATATTCATCAATCGATTCCGAAATACTATTAGAACTGCTATCATCGACCGATGATTGGGGAGAAGGGGAGGGGGAGGGGGGATAGAATAGAATATTCATTTCTCCCCCATGAATGCCCCTCCGGTTTAATAATTTATCGAAAATTAACAAAATATTTTTGTGCTCATAGTTATTCTAATATTTACACCGCTTCCTGATTTTGAAGGATTGCAGTCAAAATTTATCTATAAAATCATGCATGTTTTACGAAGCGATTTGCAGCGTACATTAATACATACATATAATATAACACGTGTATATTATTTTTGTTTCACCATACGATAGTTTTTATTTTATCATAAAATTAGCAAGCTATCAATTATTTCGTGCCATAATAAAAAAATATATGCCTCTTGCCTGTTTCTAAAAGGAAAAAGCGAGATAAATTTATATTATTAATGTTGATGAAAGAGATGTCCTAATTCATTTGTTCTGTATTTGAAAAAAATTTAATGCTGTTCATTTCAGAAAAATCACGTGGTTTTATTTTAAACTTTAAAAATAATATCCGCGTATATTCTTAATAACAGAACGGATTAAAAGAGTCTACGCACGCCATGTAAATACAGAACGATGTGAATAAAAGAACTGACTAGCATCCATCCGCGTGCGGCTTTTATATCGGCATTTTCTTCTATTTTCCTCATCGCGTTTGATCGGATTTACTTTCGATGCGCTTTGGTTCCGCGTTTTCAAACACCCACCAAAATGGAAACGGTTTCGGTCGAAATCTAACCGACAAATCGTACCTTTAACGAGCACTTTGCGGGAAAAAAAAAGCGATTGCGAATCGGTCAGGCGGCAGATTTTTCAGAATTAAATCGACGCAGGGGTATTACGGTTCTTTCATCCTGGATTCCACTATTCATAGGAAAAGGGACGTCGTCAACGGCTTTCGTTTTCCCTACCTCGACAACCTGTTGAGAAATCGATTTATTGATAGAGCACGACGTATTATCATTGACGAGTATAGCGGAGTAGATAAATTTTTATCTACGTGCGTTTGAAAAATTTTCGTAATTCGATGATTTAAACGTTCTGCGTAGAGAACGATTTGTCGATTTTTGTCGTTCAAATAGTGTTTTCGAATTTCGTGACATGTAATATTTTAATTAATGGATAAACCTCTCTGTTCGCAATCAAATCAATTTGAATAAAGAAAACACGCATATTATTATCCAAACTTTATAACGCAGGTTTGGCAGAGAATATTGTCAGTAATTTTAAAAAACCTTAAGAATCAATCAATGATTATTTGTGATGTTTCCAATAAATTTCATATTATTAATTGTCCAATATTATTCATTCACGCCTGAATGATGTTCGCGTTCAAGAAGGTGAAAAATCGGAGTCGTCCAAGACGCGAAGGGAAACGGGCGAGGACGCACAGTGAGAAGCACCTGGAGTAAAGTCCAGGTTTTTTTCACAAGAGCGTTACCTCTCAAATTACTCGGAGATCAAAAAACCGACTCTCCGCGACGGTCGAACGAGAAGATAAAAAAGGTGAGGAGGCGCCTGTGCCGCGACGGCGGTGAAAGAGCGAGCCGGAAAAAGGAAAGGCAGAGACTTTCGCGCGCGAGATGTGATTTAGATACGCGCCCCCGGGATCTCGCCGGCTGCCTCTATTCTCCGTCTAGGAGCGACTAGAGGTCGAAGAGGAAGCGAGAACGAAGAGGTTCGAGGGTGGCGAAGCGGAACTGAACGAGCGGCTTGAACCGATAACATCTCTCGTTCTTCGCGCGGTCTTACGGGCCGCGTCCCGGACTCCGGTTCCGAACCGATAATTGTCGGTCTCGTCGGTCGCCGAAGAAGCCGGAGATCTTTAGCGGCGACAGAGGGCTCGGAGCCGAGAATCCTGGGTATCGTTTTTCACGCGGAAATCTCCCCGAGCTCCCGCTCTCGTCGAGTCGATCACTCGTTCGCTCGCTCGCCCGATCGCCCGCCCGGCTCGTCGCATCTCGTCAGGTCGCTTTCCGCGCTTCTTCTTCGTCCATTCGTCTTCCTCTGGTCGTCCCTTTCCATCCGTTGTTGAATGCCCGGGCTCTCCCAATGGCGCTCTTTAAAGAGCGCTCTGGGAAGCGTCTTTACGACGACAAGCGTCGTCGACGACGGCGCGCCGCGGTCGTCGCCGCGCTCGAAATATTTTTGCCGCAAATAGCCACGGCAGTACAACGATACCACCTCCCTACACACGCTCCGGATCTATCGGATGTCTTTTAACCGACGATCCTTTGACGAGTTTTAGGTCAGCGTTTTCTCAACGGGAATTTGTATACCGAAATAGTTTCCCATCCTACAGGGTAACGTAAAAATTCTCTGGCTCCCGGAAAAAGAGATACTTAAGTCGAAATAAAAAAAAAAAAATAATCTTTCTTCGCTTATCGCATATTATGAAGACAGAAGGATGTCTTTTGGATGGTACAAAAATCTGAAATGACATGTTCTAACATAAAATCAAAGAAAGAAATATAAAAAGTGCTTTTTGAAAAATTGATTTTTTTCTACCTAAGTAAAACAAGCCTCCCGATATGTAAATTAATTAACTGTGCAGTATTGCAGTAGTATTTTGAGTTAGCGGCATATATAATGATTATTCAGCTCTTCGTGAGAGAGCGATACATCTCTTCCATCTATTTTTCTCTCAACCGTGAATTGCTAGATACGTTTTCATTAAAATTGCACACGACGAATAAAAATCCAGCGGTGAAGTGAAAATGGATATCGAAGTATGGCCGACGGGCAATGGTCAGTAATCGCGGTAGCGTTTTTCACGCGGAAATCATGGTGGTCGTCCGTCTACGATCGCTGGAGGATGTTCGCTGCCATCCGAACATTCCTCGCCTCTCTCATCTCGTTCGCCGCTTTTTCTCGACCGTTTGCATTGGCCCGTTACTTCAATGGCGTTTCCAGGAGTGCTATCGAAATCCTCTTTACGAGGCGGCGCTTCTAGTCTCCGCGAATGGTCGCTGATAATGGTCATCACGCCGAAAGAGTTACCTTCAACGACCTCGCCAAATTGTCGAGAGTCATTGTCATTGAGTTTTAGCCACAAGACACCAAACAACTCCAAATCGGAATGATGATTAATATCGATGACTGAAAAGAATATT